ATGTATACATGGTCAACATTTATAATTATATAAAATATATGATTAATAAATTTAATTTTTTATATTTATACACATCTATTTTATATATAAATTAAAAAATACTTATTATTTAGTTTTTTTATTTCCTTCAATTTAAAGTTTAAAACAATGAAATGTATTAAGGTTAAATCCAATTTCGTTACAAAAAATGATCAAATTGATTTGAGTTTTTTAAATAATTGGATTGGATTCAGATCTGGTTGGATCTCTTTAGACTCCAACCCAGAGTTTATGCCATAGGAGAAATCTGAGCTTGCAATTTCATAGGACCCAATGTTATAAAATGACACATGCCAATATAAGAAGTGATTATAGTGGTTCCACACAGATGCTCACAACATATTCTAACTAGGGGTGCAACTCAGATTAGTCTTAAGACACTTAGTTAACATTTTACACAATTTAGTCTTTTGCTTTGAGTTAGATTCATTCGAATTCTAATAAAGTCCCAACTAGACCTGTCCATGGGCCAGGTAGCCTGATGGGTTGCCCCGGCCTAACCCGATCTAAGTTAGGCTTGGACAAGATTTCATGCTTGCGGGTTCAAGCTCGGGTCGGGCTCAGGCTTAGGCCTGAATATATTCTGTGAATGTAGAGGCAAAGCCCGACCTGTGAATAGGTCTAGTCCCAACCCTAATCCACCCAAGGTGCAATTCTAATTTTGACTATGTGTGGGGAACATCTCTCCATAATACAGGTTCTCCCAATGCATCGTAGGGATTGTTGTGGGGCATGTGTGGAGTGCGCTCTGTTGGGAGCAAATTCGAACTCAAAGTCTCAAATAAAAGGGGTTGTGTGGTCAGTAAAGATTTTTGAGTCTGTGTTCTGCCCAGTGCACCCACTAATGAGAGGTGAACATGTCATCTGATTAGTGGTTCGGCTGGTTGAATTGGCCACAAAACACAATTTGGCCTTTCCTCTCATGTTAGCACTTGACTCAAACCCCCTCTGTCTTCCGAACCTAGCCCTATTACTAGATCATCAACAACCAACACCAACCAATGCTGACGGCAAAGGATCAACCGGTGATCAATGGTAAGTTGTTGCGCTTCCTCCTCTTCCTTCCCTACAAATTCAGTGGTGAAGAGTGACTTATGATGCAACATATGAACTCTCGGTTGCAAACGAGTAGCTCCGATGGCATCCCCACAATTGGTTCCTCCACCATGAAGTCCACGTGATTTAAACCACTCTCTCCCATTGCAATGGTGATTCCCTGTGTCTGGCAAAGGGCCAATGGCTATGGGTGCAAGAGTAAGCCGTTGTCAAACCCACACTATGCCTAGGAGTAGAGATAGGAAAGTTGCCAACGGCTTCAGCGTTGGCGACCACCGGAGCCACAACAACAGAGACAACTAATAACTCTGTATTTTGATGCCTTGAGGGCATCATTTCAAGGGTATTTTCGGCCTTAGAATACTCAAAGTATGCCATTTTCCCTAGTTAAATTCAATGTTGTGACCTCTGAGAGTTTCTATGCAAATTCTGGGGAAAACTAGGAAGTTTTCATGGCTGAAATGTAGATTTTGGGAAGCTGGTGTGAAGCCCAGCTGAGAGAGGGGTGTTTTTCTAAAAAAATGAAAACAGGAGGGCGCCTCCTACATGCTAAACCCAGTTTGGCGCCCCTCCTACTGTATTAGCATGCTCCCCACGCCTTAGCAAACCCTATGGCGCCTTTTAACCCATTCTTTTCACTCTTAACAAACCCTAGCCGCCCCTAACTGCTAAATCCTCACCTTCCATCCCTTCTAATCTCCACCATTCATTCTAGGGCACTCTCCTTTTAGCATTCTAACCCTAGGAGCCACCTAACTTCTAATCTTCACCATTCAGCCTTTAGTCGTTAAATCTCAGCCTTACATAATATTGGGTGCCTTCTCATTTTCTTCTCAGCCCTAGGATCACCCTAGAACCATCCTAACCCTTCATTCTAAACCCTAGGGCACCCATATTTTTGCTAAAACCCAGTTGCCGCCCCCCTCTTTCTCTCTAATTCTAGTTATATCCACCATTCTCTATAAAAAGGACCCTAGGGGCCCTGGAGAAGGGGTTGATCAATTCATCCAGTTACAAGGCTAAGGTTTCTTGAGGAGTTCAAGGGTTGTAGAAGGGGTTCCTGCAAGCTATTTAACAATTCTACAACTATTGCCACTGGATCTGATCAACCATTCTTTTCTTTTCCGTTATTTTTATTTCTGCAATCTTTTAGATTTAATTCTTGTTCGTTTCTCTGTTTTGCAGATCTGAATTCGTTCAGTTCAAGGCTAAGGTGTCTCGAGGGGTTCGAGGGTTGTAGAAAGGACGGACGCCTGTTTCTTGTTAGGAGGGGTTTTTGCAAGCTGTCTAGCCGATCTGTAGCTACCGCCACCGGATCCAGATTCTTGATCGTTTTTTTTTTTTATTTATTTTTTTTATTTCCTTTGTTGATTCTCATACTTTATTAAATTTTGATTTTTTTATTTATTGTCTTGTTTAAATTCAAAACATTTAATTTCAACAATAATAGATTTTATTTTCGTATTTTCTGCCATTCCCGATTGCATTCTCTTGTCTGGATCTAAGTATATATTAATTTTTCACTTGCTTCCCTATGGATATGACCCGTACTCACCCAATTACTACGTTAGTAGTTATTTGAGAATCGGAAAAAATTTATAAATATTAAATTGGTGTTCCGAAGTGGTTAACGACACGCTTCCGCCATCATCAACAACAAGACGACGAAAACGTCTTCTTGGGTTCACAGGTGGATTTCTTTGTTGCCACAACAACAAGATTCTTGTGTTTAGGGGGGGATTTTCTGGTGGGAAACGTCTCATTCTTCTTATTCGTCTCTGGTCATGTAGTCGGATTTGTGATTGCTTCGCTGGATATGTGAAGAATGCAACAATGGGAGTTGTCTTTGTTGTTCGACACCTTGAACGTGTTACAAGTGGTGAGATTGTTAAGGACCAGGGGTCACTACATGATTGACTTGGCCACTGGGGTCGATGCAGGCTTGTTGTTTGATTCTTTAGTCGACAAGTATGAAGAGGACAGAAAGAGGAGAAGAGCAGCAACAACTCATTAGATCTTACTTTAATTTATTTAACCGATTCTTTTGTAGTAGAAAACTGTAAAGTGAAGAAGGAGGGGGTTCATATGCAACCTATGTTGTATCAGGTCTGGGCATGCAGAGCATATGAAAAGGAGGGAGAGGAAGAAGACGTTTAGATGATTTGTCCTTCACAGCCGATGGCTTCGTCATTCACGATGGTGCTGGTTGGAGTGAAGGCGTCGATGAGCTTGGAGGTCCTAGGGTTTCGAAATGAAAAGAGGGAGGGGGAGTTCGAACTCGTGAAGACAGGTGAATGAGTTTTGCCTCTTTGCATTCGGTTGAACCGAAGGGAATTGATTAACAGACTTCCAAACTCGACCGTTACACATTTAATGCCGAACATGATTGGTAGGTGCAGTGACAAGTGCATAGAATGCGGACTCAAAATTTCTCTTAAATGCGATTGGATGAAAATGTTTCTTTAAATGGATTTAAATTAAATATAATAAAATAAAAATTATAACATTTATTAGGAAACAAGGGTTCCACTATGATATAGAAAAAATATGATATGGGAAAAACAATTGACCAATAAATTGGAATCATAAACATGGTTACAAATAAGGTATTATTTTATCAAAATTCATGAGTGGTTTTTGATTGCTCAAAACTCTTTCCATATCATATCTTTTCTGTTTCATAGATTTCCTTAGGAAACAAACAAAATAATATGTATAAGTAAATATTAATTATATATGAAATATGATATTTGAAATCAATCAATTGAGAAGTGGATCGTTGGTGTATTAATGGGTTTGTTTCAGTATTGATGCCGAATCAAATCCCGTAACCACCGCTTTGGGGAGAAAATGGGTAAGGGGTGATTATTAGTGGTGCATGGTACCGAATTTAAAATAATGGTATTGAAAATTAAATCTGCACGGAATTATTATCTGCTTTATACTAAATAGTATCAATAATAAATAATTATAAATTTAAATATTTAAATTATATTACAACCATAGATATTATCTCTGTTTTAGCTTTTAAAAATAAAAGGGAAATTGTCTAGAACTTACCATGAGTTTTCAACATTTCTCTTAAATTCACCACAACTTTTCAAAATGTTTAAAACTCACCATGTCACTAACTTGAAGTTAAACAGGCTAACGGGTGTTAATATATTACTATTTTAACCTTCATAGAAAAATATAAAATATATACAAAATAAATTAACGGGTGTTAATATATTACCATTTTAATATTTAGACATGAAATAAGGAAAAAGTTCAAAATAATACTTTCAAATATAAAATACATAAAAACATAGAAATTACAAAAAATATAAAAATATAGAAATGGAAAACATAATAAAAAATTATTTTCAAATTATAAAAACTATAGAAATTGAAAAAAAAATCAGAAAATAAAAATTGTAGAAAAAACATAAAAAATTATAGAAAAACACATAAATTGCAAATAAATAACAAAAAATACAGGAAAGTTTATAAATTGTAGAAAATAGAAAAATGTAAAAAAACGGAAATTATAAAAAGCATTAGAAATTATAAAAAAACATTAAAATGCAAAAAAAAAAGAAGATTGAAAACTAAAAAAGACATTTTTTCCTCTAACTCTCACCATTCAAGGGTAATTTGGTCATGAAAATTGTTATTTATGCTGACATGAACACTTTTATTAAAAAGCATTAACAGTTCACTAACGAAAAACGGAAAGTGAGTTTTGGAAAATAAGATTATTGATATAGTGAGTTTTAGATATTTCGAAAAATTGAATTTAAAAGAAATATTGAAAAGTGACGGTGAGTTTTAGACAATTTCTCAAAATAAAAAAATATAAAAAATGTAAATTAATTCCCACTAATTTCTATATACTCATATGCGAGTTTTCCTAAATACTCTCCGCCTCTCTGGAATTCTCCTCTCCGCGTCGATCTCCTTCAAAGGGAAGGAAGCATTTCCGTAGCAAACAACCCGACAAAAAAAGAAATAAATAATAAGCAACTCGCTTTCTTGAGCTGCTTTTCTCTTCGAAACATCGTTGAAGAAGGGAATTTCTAACATATCAACTTTCTGGTCAATTCCGCCTTTACGGATTCAATTTACCAGCATTGTTTTGCAGCTTCCTTGTCAGTGTGGATCCAGTCAGAGAAGCACAGCTGATATGTCGGAACGAGTGACGGCATAATCCCTGCTTGCCTTCATATTTCTGATTTTTCCCCATTATTTTGATCGGAAGAAGGCCAAGGTTGATTTCAGGCGTCGGATTATAGTCCATCTCAGCTCAGTTTGATTGTTTTTGACGGAGAAAACTGCCGTCTTTCATTTGAATCAGCCTCATTCTTTCCAAGTGTACCCTTAATTTTATTCATAGGGCGGCAGAGAAGTTAGAACCGCATCCAACATCTTGAGATTTTGCTGGAATAGCAACTTCGTTGAATCTGTTGTAAATGATCGAAGTTTGATTCGCTTCCAGAGACTTTAGGTAACGAAAGCGTTGAGGGGGCATATGGGTATATTCTTTTTCCCTTGTCAGTGACTGAGAATCAATATTCTTTAGCCATCGATGAAATGAAAAAGGCAATAGGCGTTTGTAACGCTGATTTTTTTGATGAATGAGAACGGATGGATGCGAGAAGTGCAAGTTCTGTTATTACTTTTGTCATTCTGTTTTTTGCATTGGCCACGGGAAGTTCAGAAGGAACCAGGAGGGCAGGGAAATTCTACTGGGCCAATGGGATTGCTGTGGCGTCTTCTCCAGAGATAGAAATAGACGAAGATATGGTAGGAGTCTTTTTGTCGTTCATTTGTTGCTGTTACTTTGTGCATCTTTTTTTCCCCTTTCTCGATGAAACGATAGTTGCTATTATCTATTTTGACTCCCGATTTCCCGTTAGTATGAACTTTTAAGCGGGCCTTTATTGTTTGGTGGCAGCTTAAATATATCAACTTATTTTTTCTATTTCAAGGTTTGAATGTTAATCAGAGATTTAAACTAGAATATCTGGTTGTATTGCCAGTGATTTTGCAGTTGAAGCTCTGCAACCATTTCCTATCATTAGACAAAGAATATAAGTTCCATATGATCCTGCTTTTGAGGAAAGGGTATCCACTGTTATATCTTTCCGGGGATGAAGTCTACATAAAGAAGCGTACTTCGGATGAGACCTTTGGTAACCAAATGAGTCCTCATGGAATCTCAATACTCTCATTACTCATTAGGGATTGATTGAAATGCTTTACCAACATGCCAGTAGAGGCCATCTTCAAATCCTTAAGCCTCTACTTTATTGGGAAAGTTTTTGCTTTCAATTATAAAAGGATGAAACAAGAGCCGATTAGCCTTCCAGTCATGCATGTCCCACCTGAATAATGGTGTTCACACCCTATTTCATTGCATCTTTTTTTGGTCAACCATTTCATTGCATCTACCCCTGTTAGGCTGTTACATACCTGACCAATAAGCCAAATGCCTTAGCCCTAGGGCTGTTAGAGTGCATCAATCCAAGCAATTTAATCTTCAGGGTCATAACATATCTACACATTCTATAGCCGACATCTCAGATGCTCTCTCTGGGCAGCTCTCTCTGACAGTATGTAGTCCTATCCATGATGGCTCTTACTTTAGTGGCAGATGGTCCTTTCATTTAGTGGCTCTCATTCTACTATAGGTATCCCTTTTTGTGATTCAAATACAAGAGTGGGGGCAGGCTCTGATACCAATTGTTACATACCTAATTGATACACCAAAAGCCCTAGGGCTGTTCAAACATGTCAAGTCAAGCTCTTTAATCATTAGGACTGTAGAAATCTCCAACTCATGACAACCACTTACAGCACCATTCTCAATAACCAGCCTCTAAGAAATAGGGAAATTCTCATGCAAAGGATACTTAACAAATTACTTGTCCTCCGGAAGAGTTATCCATCATTCTTTTTTACCCCTACCCCCATTCTCCTTTTTTCAAATTTTTATTGTTAAATTTGGCAAAAAATAGCTAAGTTCTATAAGATGGCATTCAGACATTAAAAAAGTTCTGAGAAGAGGGTGGTGTGAGTAGTTATTGAATGGGCTGGCAATCAATAAGATACAGCAGAAAGTCAAATGCTTGTTTGTAGAACAACTGTGAGTTTGTGAGACTTGTTCTTGCCCATACCTGTCCTTTAAATGATGTGGAGGATAGGAGGGCACGAAAGGCTGAAATATTCCACCAGCTTTACAATCTTTTTTGTTTTTGATAAATTTCCAACTTTACAATCTTACCCACCATATTGTAATGCTAAGAGAGGATTGTTCCATTAGAAGGATGATGTTGATCACCTTCGGCCTGTACTGAGGTTCAGTTTTCTGCAAGAAAACACAGAAAGAAAGGGATAAAACAGAAGAGAGAAGAGAGGAAGAGAAGAAGAGAAAAGGAGAGAAGAAGAATGAAAAGAAGGGAGCAGTTCTCACTATTCTGCTGCCCGGATTTTGTATTTATAGGTCTCTATCGTAAAGTAACTTAACAAAGACACCCCTGTTGACTAAGACACTACTTAACAGAATATAACAATAACTAATGTAGGCCCAACTAGTAAGCCTATGACAAGGCCTGAACTGATAAAACAAAGAAATAATTACTATACTGTTTCTCTACACTCCCCCTCAAGTTGGAATTGATATTTGTCATTCCCAACTTGCGTAAATCTGTCTCTAACTTGACCCTTATAACTGCTTTGGTGAAGACATCAACAAGTTGCATATTAGAGGCAACATACAGAAGGAAAACTTCTTGGGAGGCAACTCTTTCTCTAATAAAATGTCGATCCACCTCAATATGTTTGGTTCTACCATGCTGCATGGGATTATGAGCAATATTAATGGCGGCCTGGATATCACAATACAACATCAGTGGGCTTTCATATTCAACCTCTAACTCCTCAAGTAGTGATCTGTTGAGACCCAAACACCCCCTCCAGAACCCACTAGGGGAGTGGAGCAGGCCGCCACCTATCAGCCATTCACAAGAAGACAGAGGAGCCAGGTGGCAGAGCCCCAGAATTAGTTACACTCAGAGTTGGTTACTCTGCCACCTGAAG